AGGAAGAAATAGAATTTACTCCTGGATTGGAGGAGCTACAAAATATTGGGACCATTTTTTCCCTACAACATTTATTCATCATAGCATGGCCTGTAATAACAACAAAAACAAACAGGGGTGCCTAGGTGCCTCAATCGATTTAGAGACTGACTCTTGATTTCAGCTCAGGTCATGATCTCAGTGTCCTGGGATGGAGTCCCACTTCAGGCCCCCACTTTAGGCTCTGCACTCAGCAGGGAGTTTGCTTGAGGATTCTCTCCCTTTGCCCCTCTGTCAGCTCTCTCTCTCTCTCTCAAATAAATAAATAAGTTTTTAAACAAATAAACAAACAAAAAGAGTAGAGGACTGAAAAAATAAGAGTAGAGGTCTTGTTGAATAAATCAAACATGCATACAATGGCATAACAATGTAACATTTACAAAGAATGATAAGGAAGAATTAATGCTCTGGGGAAATGTTCTCCATCTAGAATTAAATGGGGGAGTAAAAGGGTTACAAAATCTCATTTTTGTTAAGCAAAAAAAGTATAAAAGCACAGATTTTTAAAAAGAGATTGGAAGGACAGCAAGAATATGTTAGCATATCTAATGATGAGACTACTCTTAATTTCTTCCTTGGGCTCTCCTTAGGCTCTTCTACACAGCTGACAATTCTATTGTCTTGCACTTACCTAAGCACTTTACATATGTTAATTTACTTAATCCTCACACTGACCCAATAAGATATAGTATAGCAGTATCATTGTCCCTGTTTTACAGATGAGGAACCTAAGAGATAGGGAAGCTTACCAACACACCCAACGTCACACATCAGGCAGAAGTCAGATCCTTGATTTGATTCTAAACTCCATGCTCTTAATAAGTACTATTTCTTCTGAGTCAAGTGGTTTGTCTGGGTGGGACCAGAGTGTGATGTTTGGTAAATGGACTATACCCTTGGTTTTGAAACTTTAAAAAAATCATCAAAAACATTTTATTGCAAAAGCAATATATTCAGGGCACCTGGGTGGCTCAGTGGGTTAAGAAACTGTGCCTTCTGCTCAGGTGATGATCTCAGGATACTGAGATGGAGCCATGCATCAGGCTCTCTGCTCAGCGGGGAGCCTGCTTCCTGCCCCCCCCCCACCTGCCTCTCTGCCTACTTGTGATCTCTCTTTGTCAAATAAATAAATAAAATCTTTTTTTAAAAAGGCAATATATTCCATAAATATATAGAATAAAAAGATGAAATTTCACCTGCCAGGATCCCAGGACCATCCTTAGAGAAAACCATTATTAGCAGTTTAGTATGTATCCTTCCAGATCTTTCTTTTATATGCATTTACATACCTAAACACACAGTGTGTAGGTGTGTATGCCTAAGCGTGTGTATATATTTTTTTCTCTATATATGAAATCACACTCCACAGTCATTATTTGGTGACACTTTGGCAGGCTTTGGAGATCTTACCCTGTCAATCCACACAGATCTGCCTTATTCTTTTTTTGTGATTTATGGGCCTCTCCTAAATAGAATGAGTCCCAGAAATTCCTCCTGGTATGGACTTCCTTCAACAGGGTGAGAGAAAAGAGCCCCTAGAAAGAGTTTAAGGAAAGAGAAACATAGTCACCACAGGTGTCAAAAGATGACCCTAACATATTTGTAACAGGTTACATTTATTTCCTAGGTTTGCTGTAACAATATACCACAAACGGAGTGTCTTAAAACAACAGAAACTTATTTTCTCACAGTTCCAGAGGTGAAAAGTCCAAAATCAAAGTATCGGTAGGACCATTCCCCCTGGGAAGGCTCTAAGGAAGAATCCTTCCTTGCCTCTTCCAGCTTCTCATGGTTCCCAGCAATCCTTAGCGTTCCTTGGCTTGTAGGAACTCCTATCTCTCCTTCTTCATATAGCATTCTTCCCTGTGTGTATGTGTCTTTGTGCATCAGTCCTCTTATAAAAACATCAGTGACTGGATTTAGGACCCACTCTAATACAGTATGACTTCATTTTAATTTAACTAATTATACCTGCAAAGACCCTATTTCCAAATAAGTTTACATTCTGAGGTTCCAGGTGGATGTAAATTGGGGGGGCTATTCAACCTGATACACAGGCTTAAAGTTTCCAACTGAATAAAAGTGCCACTATTACTCAAATGTCAAAAAACTTAGTATTCTGTTTAGAACATATAGATCAAGTCCACTAGGTTTTGAGAGACTTTCAGCTGAGAAATTCAATGTACTGTCACAAAAGTTCAAACAAACTTAATTTCATTTCAGTTGTGAAGATGAATTTTCACCTCATGGACAGGGATGTAGAACTTCAGAATTTTAAGTAGAGGATCACAGTTTAACACACACACACGCACACCCCTGCATTTTTACAACGTAGCTGTAGCTTATGTCATTCTGTATCTTCACAATTTTGTACTTAGGTCTTTTGCTTTAATCATGATCTATCACACACATCAGGGACAGGAATAAGATTATTTAAGAAGGAGCTAACCAAATGAATTCCAAGTTCAATGGTTATTTCTCCAAACTTTTCACTCTGGGAGTAGACAAGAGAATAATTTCAATTCCCCAGTGCTCTCATCTCATCCTTGGCAAGAACTCTGATAGTCCCTTTAGCACTTTCTGGTGAGGCACGGTTCATTACCTCCTGAGACAATCCACTTCATGTCAGGATGACAATTTCATCTACAAAACTGTTCTTAATATATGTTCTGTCATCTCCAGTGCTTCAGACTAGAACACAGAGGCTCAGAGAGGTATGCATATTATGCAAACAGATGAGGAAAAGCTTGGAGGGATATCCATGAAAGGTTTCATGTAATTTTCTGTATTTTCCTAAAATATTACAAGTATAAGTGAACGAATTTTTTTAAGATTTTATTTTTAAGTAATCTCTACACCCAAAGAAGGGCTTGAACCTATAACCCCGAGATCATAAATGGCACACTCCACTGACTGAGCCAGCCAGGCACTCCAAAATGAATGTAGTTTTAAAAACTATAATTATGGGGCCTTCAGTTCAAGTTCCCACAGAAAGTGGCAGAGCCAGGATTGGAACCCATTTCTAGACAACCTCCAGTGGGGGTAGAATTTTCTGGACTCTCTCCTAATGACCCTGAGCTCCAGCATCTCTTGTCCTTCCGGATCTCAGGGCTCCTTTCATTCCAGCTGGGCCTCCAGCTTTGGCCCTCATCCCGGAGAGCAGGATGCAGCGGAGGAGGACTTGATAGGCATAGGCCTCTAGGTCTGGGGCCTTGAGTGAATCCTGCACAGATGTATTCTCTGGCACTACTCCCGTTGCCAGTCCTGATTCCTGAGGGCAGCCACCATGGCATTAGCCTCTGTATTCCCGGGACTAACATTTGATGAGGAGTTGGAAGAAGGAGACCCAGCACCAGGCAGCTTTACTAACTGTGTGATTTGAAGGGAAGGAGGTAAAGCGCTTCAGCGACAGTGGAGAACCCCTCAGCCTCGGGTATGTACTGGATGTACGGGAGGCTTATTACCCTAATCATCGTTGTCGTCAGCTACGCCAAGTGTGGGACCTCCCCCACCTTCCAAGGCCAGTGATTGCGCCAGAGCCCCTGCGTGCTAGCAAGTAGGTGACGCTGTTGCTGACGGCCGGCTGGGGGTACGGCAGAGGAGAGAATGCTTTCCCTTCTGTACAGCGGGAACTGTCACGTGACCCCCCGCAACGCTGGCGGGCGTACCCTCTGTCCCTCTTCTTTTGCCTCCGGATACCCACGGGCGCGCGCCGCGTCCTCAGGCGCTCCGGGCTTCCCCGCGTCACCTGCAGCCAGGGCGCCCCCCCGCGACGCCGCCATTCATGCCTTCTACAGAGCGCGCGCAAACCTCCAGGGCCAGGAGAACTGCGGGGCACGGGAGGCGCTTTGAGCTAGAGTTTCGAAGCCAGCAGCAGGGGTGGGGGGGGGGGGGGTCTACCCTGGTGCGCGCGCGTCGGCCCAGTTACCGAGATTCTCCCCAGGAGAGACCGAAATACAGACTCAGGAGATGGTAAAGTGGCACGTAGGTACGGGGGCCAAGCGTGGAGACATACAGAAAGGCAGAGACACTTCTAAGAAACAGAAGTAGACAGAGACTGTGACACAAAGAGATCCGGGACGCAGAAACAGATACAGACACAGAGAGATAGACTGACACATAAATAGGCAGACACAGACACAGACGGGCAGTCAAAGAAACACTCTAGAGAAACAGTTTAGGACCCAAAGACCAATCCGACACAAACGCGCCAACCGCGGTGACGCCACCCACCCGCCGGAGCTATTCCCGCGTCCGCGGGTTTCGCACAGTCCAGCTCACCTAACCGGTGTGGGACCCCCCCCCCAGCGTGTTTCCGGAGTCCCCCCTTTCGAATGTGTCCAGACTCCTGGCTTCTGGCCCCGCCTCCCAATTCCCAGTCCCCCTTCCTCGCCTCTAGGAGCCTCCTTGCCAGACCCTCCTCCCGCCCCTTGGGTGCCGGTCTCCCTCCCGCCCCCCAATCCCCAGTCCCGCCTCTCCCGGCCAGATTCTGCACTTGTTGGCGGGTACAAATCGTTCAGCCGCCACTCCCGCCTCGTGCAGGACCCTCCCACTAACACTCGCAGCCCTCGGTTGAGTGCCGGGCGCTCTCCGGTCCGCCCCCCGCGCCCGCCCCGCCTCTCTCCCTCGGTCGGTGCCCGCCCCACTTCCACCGCGCCCCGCCTGCCGCGCTCTGCGGCAGTCGGGTGCTCATCGTCATTCCGCTCTTGCCGCCGCCGCCACCCCCGCCCCCCGCGCACCGCCCCCGCCCGGTCCCCGTCACCACCTCCGCCGCCGCCGCCGCCGCCTGCCCAGCGGCCCGGGAGGCGGAGGCGCGGGGGAGGAGGCCCCGCTTGGCTCCGCAGCCCCGGATGCTGCATGACTTCATCCTTCCGCCGGCTCCCCTGCTGAGCTAGGGCCGGTCCGGCAGCTAGCCCGCCGCCCGCGCCCCGCCGCAGTCCCGCGCCCACCCTGCGCCCGCCATGTCCGAGATCCTGCCCTACAGTGAGGACAAGATGGGCCGCTTCGCCGCCGACCCCGAGGGCTCCGACCTCTCCTTCAGCTGCCGCCTGCAGGACACCAACTCCTTCTTCGCGGGCAACCAAGCCAAGCGACCCCCCAAGCTGGGCCAGATCGGCCGAGCCAAGAGAGGTATGCGGCCGGGGCCCGGAGTCGCCGCTTGACCCAGAAACCCTTCGCCGGGCGCCCCTCGGCTGCGGTTCCCCGCCAAGCTCCCGCAGCTCTTGCCGCAGACCAGCGCAGCCAGCCGCTCGCCGGCCGGGGTTTCGGGGGGGGGGGTGTCCCCGCTGCAGTCTTGTGTCCCTCTCTTCCCCTCTCCCGGGAACGCAGTGCCCCGGATTCGATGATCGCCACCTCTGGAAGTAGAGCCCTGACACCCGGGCAAGGGGGAGGGGCCGGCCGGGGCATTTGGGGCTGCCTGAAGTGGGAACGTGGGGAGACCGGCCGCTTCTTCAGGATCAAAGGCTAAGTCGGTGGATGCTTCGGAAGAACCTTTGGGTGGGAAGGGACGTCCGACTGGAGAGAGGACGGGGGGGTCCGGGGATTCGGTTGTCCTGGTTGTTTGCATGGGGAGGGGGCTCTGTTGGTACCAGCATCGGAAGAGGGATTCAAGAGGCGAGAGGGTTCGGAAGAGGGTTGGACTAGGTGAAGATTCTGTTTGAGAAGGGGGTCTGTCGAAGAGGGGGCTCCCACGAGCAAAAGGATGATCAGCTCGGATGGAGGAGAGCTCAGGCGGCGGGAGGGTTTGGACTGGGAGATTGAACTGCCGGTTGGAACAGGGGGGCGTTCCTCCATAGGGAGGGGAGGAGGGCCTGTGGGAACTGGGCTCCGCGGAGGGTCCAGTCGGCAAGAGAATTCGGATGGGGAGGGCACTTTGGCACGGGCATCCGAGGGGCGTCACTGGGCCACGGGAAATAGCTGTTCGGGGCGCGAGGACGTGGGGCCCATTCTCGCCGCCGCCGCCCCCTGAGGCCGCGCGGCTGACGCGCTTTCTCCCTGCGCAGTGGTGATCGAGGATGACCGGATAGACGACGTGCTGAAGGGGATGGGGGAGAAGCCGCCGTCCGGAGTGTAGACGCGCCGGCTCGGGCGGCGGGCTCCGGGCCCAGCCCCGCAGCGGCCAGGAGCGCGGGCCGGCTATGCGGCTGCCGGCGCCCCCCGCCCCGGCCCAGGCGCCCGCGGGCGGGGGCTGCAGGGCCGCGCCGCCTTCGGGTTGGAGTCGCTGCCGCCGCCGCCTGGCACTCCGGAGCTGTCCGCTTCAGCACCACGGCGGCGGCGGCGGCGGCGGCGGCGCGGACCTGCCCGGAGCCCGCCGCCGCGCTCATGCACTTTAGAACCTCGGGCCGCAGCCCCACCCCGCACACCGGAACGGACACAGAGACCCGCGGCCCTCAGCCCCCGACCCGCCCCCTCCCGCACGGCTCCCCTGCCCCGCCCCTCTCCGGCCGGTCTGGTCTGCAGAGCCGGCTGCCGGCCGGTGTCGAACCGCGCGCGCAGCCAGGGATGTTTGGCTGCGTATTTGCATGAGCTTCCCACCTACCTGAGCCCAGCCCTCCAGGCCGCTCCCTGACTCCCACCCTGTCTGGCGTGACCCCAGCCTCAGCCTCTTTCTAAGGGACTTCCTCAGCACATTTGTATTTTTATATCCGACTCTTTGTTTACTGGCTCCCTCATGGTTCATGCCCCCCCCCACCCCCAGTCTCGGCCACGCTCTTCTGCGCCTGGCAGATAGGATGGGTGTTGAGTCTGAGATGGAACAAGCCCCCAACATGGTAACCAACCACATGGCCAGTCTGCTCACTCTCTGGCAGACCCCTCCTCTCAAGGTATCACCTTCCAAGGGCCCAGGTCTGATTTTACCTTGGACCCCTGCATCCTGCCCCTGGGAACCAAAGTGAGGACTGCTGTGCACCTTTGGATGACACCTGTGGCCCTGGAGAGGTTTTCAACCCAGGGGTGTTCTTTGTAAATGTTCTCCATCCTCACTGTACCAGGAGTGTGTGAATAAACACAGACCTCCCTGTGTGTGTGTGACCACTGTTTTGGTCTGCTCAGGACCCAGGCCGAGATGGCTCCAATCCCGTTTGGGGAGGGGGGCAGGTGCTTGGGAGTCTCAGGCGCAGGTTGCTGGCAGGGAAGGGTTGCCAAGGAAACAAGCAGGCCAGTCTGGCCTGAGAAGTTCATTACAATGTAGCTTCCTGGGGTAAATAAACAATCTAAGCAGGATAGGAGACTAGATTTGGAGCTGAAGCTGGGATCAGAAGCATAAAACAATCTTGATTCAAAGTCTGCACCCTCTGTTGGATAAATCCAGGTTGAATGGGGGTCGATAATAGGCCCCAGGGATGCAGGTCTCAGAGTCTGGCTGGCATATGGGGGGGATGTGCTGAGCTTTGCCCTAGGGGATGAATCACTGGTGGTTCACTATGGTAAGGGAGGAAGTTGAGGAATTCAGGAAAAATCTGAGGAACCCAAGAAAGAAACCAGAAACCTGGGATCTGGGATCTAGTTTGACCTGGGCTGTATTGTTTCATGTGGGGTTGCTCCCATCAGCTCTATCTTAGGCATGAGGCCTCTGGGATTGTGAGCACCTTGAATCAAACCCCAAGCCCTGAGTCAGGAATTCCGAGTACTTGAAGAGCCCAAGGCAGAAAGGCAGGGAAGGCCAGAGGACCATGCCTCTGGCCTCACAGCTGAATGGCATGGAGGAAGTCCTCGTGATCTGAGTCCTGGAGGAAGCAGGGTGCGATGGAAGGTCGAGGGGGTGAGAGGATCTGGGTTCCAATGGCCAGCTGGGTCACAGTGAGCTCTCTGCCCTTCTGCATGATGTAAAGATGGAAGTGGAAACCACTGCCATAGGTTGCATGCCTCAGGGACCAGCTATATCGCGCTTGGGCATAGTGTCTGATCCGAAAGTGGGGAGCAGCTGAGGTCAATGAGATGAACCGACCTCCATGGACCAGCACCCGGCTCACCTGCAAGGCAGACAGAGAAGTCACTGGTGAGGAGTCCATCTCCAGGTTCTCAAAGGTCAGTATGGCCCCAGATACCCTTGCAGGTACCACCCTGCATCCCGTAGCTTAGGGCTCTCCATGGAAAGAGTGAGTCTCCTCTCTGGCCCTAGTCATTCCATGGAGGTAGGGCTATATTCAACCCAGGCAGGACATGGGAATGATGTCAGGAGCAGGGGCACTGCTTTCCTGTCAACTACTCACTCTCCTGGTCTGTATTACCTATCTGGAACCTGGCTGCTACCTCATCCCTATGGCAACCCAGTAGCCAATCATCAGCACCTGTGAGCTTGGCCACTCCAGCCCCCTATAATCTTGACCCAGCTTAACCACCCCCCCTCCTTCAGGTAATTGCAGTGCTGAAGGTGACCCACCACCTGCTCCAAACTATGCCTCCTTCCAGCCTCTGAGTTCTTTCAGTCTCCTGAAACCCCAGTCTCCCAAAACCCACCTCTTGGTCTGCTCTCCTTTCTTGTTGCTCCCTCACCTCACTTAGCACCTGGTCCACAGTGTGGACACCCTCAGAAGACACATTCCAGGGATCCCGTTCTCCAGCTAACAGGGCATCCAGCGTGCCCTTCTCGAGCACCACGTCGAAGGAGCCACTGGGGAAGTCCAGGGCCCGCACATCCATGGTCTCCCAGCGCAGCGAGGGCACATGGGCGTAGCGAGTCTGCATCGCAGCCACTACTACTGATGAATAGTCCACACTGGTCACATCAGGGAAGCCTCCAAGGAACAGCTCGTAGCTCAGGGCACTGTTCCCACAGCCTGGGGTGGGAAGGGTCAGAATGGGTGGCAAAAGGGCTAGGTTAGCTTTGGTTCCCACTTGCCCCAATTATCCATCCACTCTTGGCCGATTTGCTCTCAGCCTAAACCCTCCCGTATGGAAGGAAAAGAACCATGTACAAAAAAGCACAAGCCTTGGAGTCATACAGACCTGGGCCCATATCCTGCTCTAACATTCTGAGCTGTACAGACTAGGGGCAAGTTGTTTTCATACCAGGAACTTGGAATTTCCTATTCAGAAAAATGGAGATAGCAATGCCTAGCCTACATGCAGAATGTGATACGCTAAATTTAAAAACTAAAGGAGCTGGAGAGTAGCTGAAGGTGCTCTGAACTTCTGAGTTCAAAGATCTATATTCTGACAGCCATGGTGAGTCATTCAACTCCGAGCCTATTCCCTCCTACTCAGAGTTGGGATACTATTGGCATCATTAGGACCATCATATTATTATTAGGATACTAGTAGTATTTTTTTTAAAGATTTTATTTATTTACTTGACAGATAGAGATCACAAGTAGGCAGAGAGGCAGGCAGAGAGAGAGGAGGAAGCAGGATTCCTGCTAAGCAGAGAGCCCGATGTGGGGCTTGATCCCAGGACCCTGGGATCATGACCTGAGCCGAAGGCAGAGGCTTTAACCCACTGAGCCACCCAGGCGCCCGGATACTAGTAGTATTATCCTAATTCCTAACCTCTCAGAGAAGCTTTGATCATATCAGCCCTGGGAAGACGTCATGTTAGGGGTTACTATCCTACTTCAGTTTCCAGGGGCAGAATTAACAAGTGTAGGGGAACTTGATGGGGACACACAGTAGGGCTGATTCCTTGTAATTCCTTAATGTATTAAGCACTACATTTGGGTTCTGCAGATGAATAGGGAGCTCATGCTCTGGTGGGAAGAAAAGATGTACGTTCCTGCAATTGCGACATAATGCGATGAGAGTTTCAATAGGGACGGGCTGTGAAAACACATAGGATGGCTCCTGTCCCCACCTCTGGTGGGGCAGCCAAGGCTTTCACAGAAGTTGACAACCAATCAGAGTCTTGAAGGACCCTAACACTCTGGTGGGAAGTTCCTGGAAAACAGTTCCAGAGGGCAGACTATGGGGAGAGAAGGAGTGGAGGTTAGAGGACAGGATCCACAACACGGTAGGTGTGACTTCCTAAGATGGCATGCTGGATCTCTTGTGGTCTGTCTTAGCCTGGGAATGGAGCTGGAGGACAGTTCTGGTGGCCCCACAGGGGATCCCCAGCTCTTGGGATTAGATTGCTCTTAATCCCCATTTGCCTCCTAAAAGGATCATGGGATCAGCTGTTAGGATAGCCCTAATCTAGCAGGGCTTGGTACTTGAACAGGGCACCCAAAAGCTGCTGGCTGGTCCTCGGTTGCCCCTTCCTGTGTTCCTCCTCAGACCCTACAGCTGAGAGACAGTACTATCTTGCCTGGGAAAACCCAGTTTGTGTTTTTCCACACTGGAACCATAACAAGCCTGGGGAGATATACCACATCGGTGAGAGGTGAGGGTGGCTTTGCAATAGACCCTAAGTGAGTTCAAGATGAAATCCCAGTGGGTTATCTGACCCACGATCCCCTCACCATCCCACACCCAACCTCATAGGCCCTCAGAGCTCTGCCCAATTGTGGACAAACCCAAATTTCCTTCCTTTTTTCCCCTTGGTACAGGAATGGCAGCTTCCAAGAGAACTTTACTAAGGATGAAGGGAGAACAAAGCCTGCCCACAGAGCCAATCATGCTTACAAAGCAGTGATTTCTCAGTAATTGAAGGCTGGCAATGAAGAAGGGGCCTGGGAAGGCCACTGCCTTCCTGCGTTAAGCTTTAGGGAAGCAGAGCCCTGGAGAACTGAGCCACATCCAAGAACTCTTTACACAGGAGCCCAGAGCTATGTGGATGCAATCCCAATAACAAGAGATAGAGGCGTAAGCCAAAATACCAATTCATTAACTTATTATAGGAAAAATAACCATCTTAGGGACTGAGCAGTTTGTCAATCCTCTCTGGTCAGTCCCTTCTCTCTCTATAGGAAATACAAACTGAAGCCAAATTAGGATCAGAAGCACAGAATCTAACAAGGAGAGAGAATCAGAGTTGGGTGATATTGGCAAAGCTGGGACAGCCATACGCAAGCACCTGCCATGAAGATCTTCCAGCCATAGGTACCAGACACACAAGATCTCAGGCAGGGTACTCTGTTCTCTGGACAATCCTGGAGAGACTGCACCCTGACTCCCATTTTCAATAACAATGATAGCTAA